AAGAATAATTCATTGCACCCATAAATTATTTCCATAATTACTGATTACACACGAATACTACAGAAAAAAAGATAATTTGCTATATCCTTGTTTGCACGTCATGTTCACAAAATTATTTGTAAGGGGTGCACTTTGAAATGGCAAATTTTCTCGATGTTTTGGCGAGTACTCCGCCGGGTATATAGCGAATTCTCGCACTAGCATAATTTTGCTCGAGTTTACTCATCGATTTCCCATATGCACAATGCGTTTTAAAATAGCATAATTATATTGCGTGAGTGGCTGGTGAGACTGTTTCACAACGCGTTCTATTTATTTCCAACGCGCATGGCCGGCGCGTTTATTTTGTATTTTTATTTTCGAAATGTAGCACTCGCTGCGTTTATTTTGTCATGTCTCGCAACTGAACGTCCAAGCTGACTTTGTTTTGGCTGTAAATACTCAACTTTGTGTGCCATTTTGGGTTTTTTAATATTGAATTGTTAATGTGAAAACTGCTTAATGATTCATCTAATAATTTATCTATTGAAATTGTACTTAATATTTTACTTCTTTTTTTTTACTAGGATGCTATTATAGTATTATATTTAAATATTCTACACTATTTGGATACATACACAATTCAGTCATTTGGATTGTTTTGAAAATAAAGTACATTAGTATTTTATATTATATTCATCTGAATTATTAATTTTAATTTCAATTTAATGTGTATGTGTGATGTCTGTAAATGAGCCGTGTGTTCATAGTTTCTCCAAGGACAGATGTGGCAATGCTGTGACTGTGGGTAACATCTGGTTTATTTCTCAAATAATTTAGGTCACAAGTTTACCAGTTTCTTCAAATCTATGACTCATCATTTTTAAGCTTCGTCTTTTTCTTCTTCTTATTTTTGTAAATTGGGTTCGGCCAATTTAATAACCGTTTTTGGAGATGTGTATTGTTAAGGAGTGTAGTCAGGCGTAATTTGTTGGTCAACAATTGGGAGAAAGGCAAACAATGTGACTTGTAAATAGAACTTTTTTTTGGAAAACCTTGTAGTCTGTTTAGTTGAGTCTTGGTACGATTGTTCGTCAGGTAGGTGAGACAGAATGTTCTTGAAAGTATTTAGTAGTGATATCTCGAGAATATGTTTGTTATATTCTGATTGATTGGTATTCCCCCCAAAATAGGAAAATCGCATAATCATGTATTTCTGTGTGCATACAGAATGTCAAGGAATCGTTTGTTTTCGTTGTTAATTTGTTTGGGCTGTAATTCCAAAACTAAGCGACCTAACTGTAGCGAATTTGTTTGTGGTTCGTATAGCAATATTCTGATTGCACCATGAAGTGTATTTTGATTATTCGGATCAGAAATCTGGTAAATATATGAAAAACATCACTTTTTAATAGATCTTGTTGTGGAGACTACCAGATTGCATTGATACAAGGTATCTTTGATGAAGTTCTAACAGATTTGTTCATTTCATGACAATGTCATTATTTTTTTATGGGATCAGTCTGATTGGTTTGATACTTTATACTTGATACTTTTAATGTCTATCAGATTAATATGACGCTATCATCAATTTCATATTTTATACCATCACGATTTCAATGCTTATTTGTTCTTATTTCAACCATCATATCGCTTGTTATATAGAATTTTCATTAGTAATGTGTATTTTTTAAACCACCATAACCTTCGTATTTGGGTGTACATCTTTTCGGACATTCCCTTTTGCATGACATCACAGCTACCATGGCCACGCCCATGACAACAGTGCTTAATAGTGTCTTTTGTCAATTGCCAGTGTAAATTTCTAGTGGTAGTAGCAGTGAAACCTTTCTGAAAATTGTCAGTACATTGTGTTTGTTGAGATCGATGTGAAATTCAGTGGCTAGAGTTTGAAAATATCACAGGAATCTTAGTCGTGATCTGTGATTCTGCTCTGTGTATCTTCATCTAAATTGATGAAGCACCACTGACTTGCAATGATAAGGGCTTCAGGAGAGTTGCCATGCATTCATCCTTGGAGGTAGGCTATGAGACATTGGGTTACCACACGTGAGCAAGAGTTTGAGTGGAAACGCCTTCATCATTTCCCACTAGATGTGCAGAAGAGCCAGGACAGTCAATGATGTACTGGTTCATCACGTGTAAATGTTAGCATTGACACAGTTGGGGTATGTGCATGTAACAATGTAAATCTCACCAAAATGTGGCCAGGCTTGGTCCATCATAGGAAGGCTTTCATACAGCTGGTCTGTTGAGAAAGGAAGGACCCAGATGCATCTAGCAGTTGTTGCTGAACAGGCCTGATGCATAAGGTACCCATCACCAAGGGTAACATTCTTACTGTATAATAGTAATGAGTTGTACTGTATCAACTTGGGGTAACTTTAAAACTTCCTTTTTTCCTCTGATCCACAAAAGTGCGCAGTTATTTTGCCAACCTGAATTGTAAGGGCTGACAGACTAACAGATTTGGAATTAGTAATAGACTAATCACAATCAAATGTTGAGAATGAGCATCAGACAAATCAGGCAGTTGAGATTCATTGATGGTGGTGTCCATCATAAAATAGAAGTTATAATGAATGAATGAATGAATGAATGAATGAATGAATGAATGAATGAATGAATGAAATAAATGATGAAATAATTTGCTTTTGGATTGCTAGAAACGCTCACCAACTTTCACATAGAAGGTGACAGTCAACAGTATGATATGGATAAAAGATTTGGGTCAGAGGGTGAAACTAAAAAGCAACTGGAGATTTTGAACCAGGGTATGACTTAATTGGCTAACTAAGTTAGCCCTTGTGATAATTTAGTAATTAACCCAATCATTACCATGGAAACAACATAAGTAAACAACAAACTGGTGAATTTTGAAAATCATGTCAAGCATTTAGTATGGTATAGACTATCATATACATCACAGCACTAAAGTTAATAATTATTTAATCTTAGCCTCATATAGCCAATGTATTTTTGGGGCAGTCATTTTTTTTTATATTATCGGTATTTAGTTATTTTAAAAAGAAAATTTAATTAAATTTTATAAATGAATGTAGTATATGAATCCAACACACATATTTTTGTAGCTCGTTGCTACCATGGAGTTAGTACCTTCCATGTTGCTACCATGGAGTTAGTACCTTCCATGTTGCTACCACGGAGTTAGTACCTTCCATGTTGCTACCATGGAGTTAGTACCTTCCATGTTGCTACCATGGAGTTAGTACCTTCCATGTTGCTACCATGGAGTTAGTACCTTCCATGTTGCTACCATGGAGTTAGTACCTTCCATGTTGCTACCATGGAGTTAGTACCTTCCATGTTGCTACCATGGAGTTAGTACCTTCCATGTTGCTACCATGGAGTTAGTACCTTCCATGTTGCTACCACGGAGTTAGTACCTTCCATGTTGCTACCACGGAGTTAGTACCTTCCATGTTGCTACCACGGAGTTAGTACCTTCCATGTTACTACCATGGAGTTAGTACCTCCCATGTTGCTACCATGGAGTTAGTACCTTCCATGTTGCTACCATGGAGTTAGTACCTTCCATGTTGCTACCATGGAGTTAGTACCTTCCATGTTGCTACCATGGAGTTAGTACCTTCCATGTTACTACCATGGAGTTAGTACCTTCCATGTTGCTACAAAGTAAACTTAATTATGTGAAAAATAACGTATCAGAATAAAAAGGGAGACACACATACAAGTTAACATGATCATGGCAAAATGTGATTAGCTAATAAAGTCATGGTCATGACACATGATTATGTAACCATAACTCAATGAATAAAAGTACAAGAAGCGCATAGCAAAGTCAAAGATACAACAAATATGATAATGTATAGCACAATAAAGGAAGACTTTTAAGTAAATTATAATTTTCAGTATTTTATTAACACAAACAAACAAATTTCACACTGAAACAATAAGTTTCTATTGGCCAATGGAATAACATTAAAAATGTTCAAATAAAGTCAATACACACTACGCTTGTTTTATTGGCTGGTTGGATTAACTGTCATTAACATTTTAAAATATTTGTAATAATGAAGGAAATGAGTTTATGTCAATCATACAACAGCTTATTGTCATTATATTTATTGCAGTTATTACATAATTGCATATATATTTGCATATATTTACATTTATTTATAATTTTTCCCTAATTTGACTATGTATCATACTCACCAATTATATGATTGTTTGTCCGTTCAAGCATTTGTGTTTCATATGCAAATTTGTTGACAGACTAAAAATGTAAATATTGATAAAGTATGAAGTTTTTTATCTTATTTCAATGGTTTAACACATTACCAATGATAAACAAGTTACTGCTCATACATTTGTTTCTCCTATTAACAATGAATTTTTAAGCATTTGTGTACTATATTTATTATTTACATTAACATTTTCAATTAAAGAAAATTGTATTCATTCATTAAGGTAGAAGTAGCCTAGTCATAATTGTTTGTCAAAGTTTGTCATAAATTGCATGACAGTGTTCATTAGTTTATTATGTACAATCATGAAGTTAATGTCCCATGGTACAATGAAATAGCATTATTTTGTGTGTTACAGTTCAGCTTTTTGAGAAACGTGTCCTAATATTTCTTGAAAATTGCTATTTTTAGAACAATTCAATAGAACACAATGTTAAAGAAAAATTGCATTTTTGGAGACTTTTTAAAACCCAGATTTTAAAAAATAATTAAGAACAACAAAAAGTACTCCATCAATAACAATATATGATTTTGTCACCAGGCTAGATTTTGAGATATTGCATAATATCTCTGCCATAGGAACCTGTGGTAAAAGTGTTTCAATTGTGTCAAAATGGCGACTTCCCACTAAAATACAACCATCAATTTCTTGAAAAAAAGGCTGGGGACCCCCAATTTTGTTTAGGTCAATATCCTTATATTGCCTTGGAGTACAGTTGATTGCAAAATGAATAAATTCTGGGTATTTTAATTTATGAGTGGGCTTCCACTTTAAGTGAAATCTTTCCATAATTGTTTGATTTTCTTCTCATGGACAGGATGGAATGGAAGGCCATCGATACTCATGCTTAATTCAGGAAATATACCATCACCTATCTCATGATCCATCAAGGTCCTCAACATGGCTTCTTGCTGAAAACAAAATATATGACAATGTTATATTATAAACTCTTTGTAATTGACATTGATGTGATGGTTGAATTAAAACTCATAACACCAATGATATCAATATTAATAATTCAATGTCAGTGATGACATTTGCAGTTGGTAAATTGACATTTGCAGAAACATAATCATGTTTTTGTACAAACTTTGAAGAAAATTTGTCAAGGAAGGTTTGAAAAATAAGTAAGACACATGAGAAAATAATGGCCACCGACCATATTGAATCAATTCATGAAACAAAATTACGTGTGTCAGTAACCCACTTTTAAAGATGTCAATACTATTAATAATAAAATCAGTCCAGGCATATCTGAGAAACAGTTATATTATTGTGACAAAAATAGTTACCATTTTGTCAAAGATCATTGACACAAAAAGCAAATCAACATACATGTTAACCATTTGTACATATTTTGAACAATGACCAAAAAGTCCAACACGGACAAACAGACAAGACATACTACTGTATTATATTTTGTTGTTCACATGCTCAAACTAAAAACAAGTCTTGGTATACTTGAGTTCTTATAAGTTTCTATCAAGAAAACACCTTTGTGAAGTCAAAATGATGTCAATACCAGGATAAAAATGATGTAAATACCAGGATGAAAGCATTATCGTTTTAAGCACCAAATATGTTTAGATGTGTATATCATTATATAGAATCCAGTCTCTGATCAGTCAATGTAGCTTTCATAGCAACAAAATATGGCTTCCTTTAAACAATATCTCGCCCATAACTGGAAGCATTTCATGATCAAACAAACACTTTGAGCAAGGTATCTACCAGATGAATTTGAGTGTGAATTTGTTTGTTTCAAGAATGTAGAACAAGTTAAATCTTCACATGTGCGATAAGTAAATTGTCATTTAGATGACTATCTTACCCGTTCAACAGTTGGCAAAGCAGCTTGTAATTTTTCTTTACTGTATCGTGGATATCCAATATTTTGTCTGACATATCTATCATGTATAGGACACAAACCGACAGCATATAAAGCCATACACAGTGCATAACCACCCCAATCAGATACGCCTGCAGTAAGAACATAGTCAGCTGCTACTTCACAGGAAATCTCTTTACCCTGGGGAATATATTTCATTACTTGTTCCTGTACTTTGCCCATTCCAAGCTCATTGCCACCATCACCAATACCTTGAAAAAATAAATATAAATATAATATTATGTAGCTAGTTTAAAATACGTTATAGCTGAGAATCTACAAGAGCAATGTAATGCACATATCATGCAACTTTTACTCTTCTACTTTCACCATTTATCAAAACATGTTATTCTTGATTTATGTTAATCTCAGCACAACAAAGGCATTCTCATAAATACATGATATTTATAATTTCTGTGGCCTTCGAATCCAACCAGCCAATCAACAAGCACAGCGCGCGTAAATGTTTCAATGTTATTCAATCAGATAATAGAAACCTTTTATTTTGAATTGTAAATTGTATAAATATTTATAAAGATGGAGGAAAGCTTTTGTTGCGCTGAGAGTATACAGACTTAGTGACATTCAAACAAACAGTGAGTAGTATTAGAAATGGCATACAATATTAGTGATATTCTGCTCAAGCAATCAAGGTTATTATTGCAGCAAGCAAAAGACATAAGGCAACCAACATTTATGTATCATTAGCACCTGATTACCCAACCAGTGAGCAGATTTGTTTTCACAATCCATACATGCACTGTTGGTGATGACCTGGTTCTGACTGTCATGGGTTATTTTCACTTTTTACCTGGTTTATCTTCTCAAGACACACATGCTTAACCCCATAACTATTGTCAGAGCAGGGTATTACAGTTGTTACAACAGAAGAACAAACAAAAATGTTGTTTCAAATATTGATACACTCAAATTGAATTTATACCATTATTCAGTTTTGCAACATTGTAGACAAACCATAGACATTGTGTCAGCAATATGGATAAAATTGTTACACTAAGTTCTACTGCCTTCTACAGGGTAATTCAGTTATATTACAGTTTTGTTTAACTATGCATGCAGACAGGGAGAAAGTTGGGGAAATTTGTTTATTAAAATGGAAAATAATAGTCTCTTCAGGAAATTGTCACAGCTCATGAGATGATCACAGGGAGTGATCTTGCCTGTAAATAGTACACAAATTTGACTTCAATATCAACTAAAATTATGAAACCAAGTCAATCAGCAGTGCAAACGTATGAAAGTATGAACTTTTTGTTTGAAGTTCTGTTGTGATGACTGCAATAACATCTTTGATTATATCAAACTGTACTAGAAATACATATCAATTAGTACTTGGGCAAGTCACTTAGAACGCAGATAGAGACTAGGGTTTGTATAGCACAGCCTCCTTCTCTTCCTGCTACAGAAAAACAGAAATCTGTTGAATGATATTCACAACAAGCTATAATATTCATAAATGTAATATGTCCAACTGTGTCAGGAAAAATACTCCAACAATTGATTGTACAACATACCCATACTTGTTATTTTCCTTGTCTCACATTTCCCATTATTTATATCTAAGAGAAAAACATTATTTTAGATACCATTACCAAAGTTTCTAATGATAAGAGTTAATTTATATCAAGCCAGATGTATACTAGAAGAAGGAAATCTCCAGTGTTATGAATGGTCACCAGTCTGCCATTGCTTGAAAGGGCAAATTGACAGGCTATGTATAATACATTGGTATGTCTTTGTAACAAGTTTGAAAGAAATTAGTTGATGCAAGTCGCATGCACGCACACACATGTGGAACACAAATTGATAGTTAGACTTACAAATCCATATGGGGAGAAAAGGGAAAGGAGAGTAGTACATAAAAGTATGCCAGGTTTGAGCTCTCTTCTAAACTGAAATTGTTTCAGACTTGCATATTATGAAGAATCAAGGGGTCTCCCCAAATTAAATTTCAGGAGGGTGGCAAACTTGAATATAATTAGCATATATCAATCAGGAAAATGTAAAAGTATAATTAGCCACTTTCATTTGAATACCAGCTTCAAATACACTGTAAAATTACTATATTGATGTTCTTGAATTATCTTCACAACTAAATTAAACTTCTTTGTGTAAAAACTAATTTCAATCAACTTTGATATAACTAACAGGAAATAATGCCAAACTACCAAGCACAGTCCTTTGTGATAGAACAGCATGTGTTTTTTTCTATAAAAAGAAAACATATATTTTCAGTTTTGAAATTAAATTTTCAAGAACAAAACAAAAAGGAATCTGTTGACTGAACCTGAGATGCACCTCTTTAAAACTCCTTGAGGAGAACTCATGTTATCTATGCATGTAGTTAGAATTAGTACATGCCATATACACATATATAAATTGGTGCATGCACACATTATAAAATACTTTTATTTAACAAGACAAAACAGCTCAGGAAAAAAACATAAATTGATGTAGAAGACAATATTTGACTGTGCAGGTTAAGTGACTTCTCAATGAATTTTACTACATCCACAAATTATTTAATTTGCTTTGCCGAGTTAAAGTTGCACCATGAGATCATTTTGAACTTTTATTAGGGCCTTAGAAATATTATTCAAAATTTGTGATGCTTGGAATGTGTGTGAATTGTGAGAACATGTACTGGTACTACC